GTCCTAGAGTTTGCTGCTGCTGCCGCTGCCATTAAACTATTTTAATTAGCTGCAGGATTTTAATGAGCTGAAATCAAGAAGAGCCCCATCTTAGAAGTAAGCAGGAGCTGCACACACATAAGAACAAGTCTGACAAAACAGATGGAGGTGGTGTTCTCGAGGGACTGGGCTGCAAGCTCTGTTTCAGTGAGAAGCAGGTTAGTTACTGAGGCCAGGAAGCTGAGGAGGGAAGCCAGAGGTCAGACGCCAGTCGCTGTCTGCGGCACAGGGAGAGGTGGAGGCACGCAGTCCCCTTGGCCACCGCGACAGAATGCATGGTGCCGGATTCAAGGTGACGGCAGCGCCTAGCTCCATTCTCCTCAAGTTGCCATAGCAGCCTCTCTCTCGGTGAGCAGCTTCTCCTGGAGCCCTCAGCTGGGAGGGACATCACTGTTCGCTCCTGCCTGTGCAAGAAGGAGGCTGACTGGACAGACAACTTTCCGGGCCTTGGCTGCACAGACCCAGTGGGTACTCCCATGGGCATTAGGCTGGAAGCCTCCTGCTGCCTCAAATGGGGCACCAGGGTGGATCCACATAGCCAGAGGGGGTACTCTGGGTGATTTGGGGAAGCATCCAGCCCTGGAGCAGCTACAGCCCACTGTGTCCTTGGAGCTGTCCGTCTGCTTGCCTGCCGGCCCATCGCCATTGGAGGTGCGTGTGTTTTGGCTGAATTCCCAAGTCCTTGCTTATGCCCTGAAGTGAATTTCCCAGAAAAAAATTTTAAAATCAAATAAATAAGAGAATGGGATGAATCTTTGGCCCTGCCCTGTGTCCCAGGAGGTGTTGACAAGATTAATTGGATTTTATTTTTTTATCCCCAAGTAAAAATTGGTGACACCATTCAGGTCTCAGGGAGATAAGCTGCTGGCAGGAGTAGGGATTTTGAGGAGGGTAGGATCTTCTGAAAACTCAATGGGCTGTTTGTTTTTCTTGTTTTAATCCTCCTCTTGTTCCGCCTCCAGTAATTTGAATTTTCTTATTATCTGTCCATCTTGGGAAGGATGTGGGAGGGGAGGGGTTTGCACTTGTCTTTGGAGCTGAGCGTGATGCTGTGTGTTTTGAGAATGGGATAGTCCCAGGTGGCACAGAGGCCTTTGAATGTGTTTTCTAGGCCCCAGGCAGCCAGGCTCTGGCCTGTGACAAGTCATAGTGGCCACTTCCTGGACAGCAGGTCCACTTCCAACAGAGGGAGACACACAGCCTTTGGACCAACATTCCCTCTGTTGCCTTAAAATAGTGTGTGATTTTGAGAAAAAGAACCCTTGCAGGAACAATAGGGGCTCTGATGTACACACTCTGGATTGCATTGGTGGCATGTTGGTGATTTCTCATCCACCTACACCTTTGGGGTAAGAAGGCTCCTCTAGACCCTATCATGTGAACTCCTTACTGAGGCATTGCAGACCTAGCCAGACTGCAACCAGTTACCCAGGAGGGGAGTAGATTAACCTTTTGATGCTCATTTGCAGAAATGAGCAGTGAGTTAGTTGGTCAGGTGGACCCTGTCCCCATTGGAAGCATAAACTGAGAGGAGGATCTCAGAGGAGAAGACTGGGGTTTGTGTGGGCAGGGTAAGCCAGGCACAGCTCTAAAACCAGTTTCCCTAGTCATGGAAAATGGCCTTGTAGTCTCTCGGGGGTCAATAAAGGTGAGGATCTCTGAAAAGAGATACCACTGTTGGTATCAGGATAGGAGGCTGATGCTCCTGGCACTAAGAAAGTGCAGGCCCTGGGGCTGTGTTCTCTTTTCCACCAGATTTGGAGCCAGGGTGTGGTCCCTGTCCTGGCTGCCAGGCATGTGGGTGACTAGAGCCTGCTGGTGTTTTCACTGTGGTGGGCTTGGTTTGGGCAGAAATAGGTAAGGACAAGCATGTCTGCAGGCTGCAGAGTGATTGACTCTTTGATGGAGAAGGTCTGTACTGGCTGGGACAGTGACAAGCGAAATAGACAGTGGAGGAGAAGGCAGCCACCCCACCTCCCTCTTCTATAGTGACTTCTGCACCACCAGCTCCTAAGCAAATAATGCAATGATTACAGATACTTGAGTCTCCTTTGTTCATCCACAAAGAGTCTTTGGGCTTTTTTTTGGTGGCACTTTATTGGCCATTTTATCAGGCAGCTATATGCTCTAGTCATAAAATCGTCTGCCCTTTCTTCTCCTCTGTCCTCCATGTTTCTTCCCTCCTTATGAATTATCTTGGTGTTAGAGGACACCCTGGATCAAATTGGCCTCCTGACCTCTGTCTGCCATGGGAGGTGGTTGTGTTTGTGGGAAGTGTGCCAGTGGCATGGCCAGCATGATCAGGGGCTTATGAAGTTGGGAGGCCTTGCCAAGACCATCAATGTTGTAAGTGTGTAGGCACATGCCTCTGTGGGCTTGGTGCATGTGTACATGTGTGTGCGTGCATGTGGGATCATGTCCACACAGCAGCAACTGTTGCAGAAAGTCCTCAACTCCCTTCCCTGCTCATTCATCTAGAGGCTTGCCCTTGCTACCCTGGTGTGTCATATCATTCCCACTCTTCTAACTCCTTTCCATGTCTACCTGGAGTCCTAAGGGGTTAAGCCAACTGCTTGTAGGTGGACATCTGCCTTCACATCAGTCACTCACTCTTCCTCAGGACCTCAGGAGATCGGGGCTAGCACCTGTGGGCCCAGCAGGGTCTGTCAGCATTCAGAAGTGCTGGGTGACCAGGGCATCAGCCTTCCCCCAACTTCCACAGGTGTAAAGCATGCTGTGGGCAGCATCGAGAATGGCCTGGCCCTTCACTAAGGCCTGCAGCCTGTACTGCATCCAGGTCTTCCAAGGACAGTAAGCCAGGCCCCCAGGACAGTCCTATCCAGAGCAGCCATGAGGGGAGCGGCTGTGGCTCCACATGAGGGGCTTTAGGGTTTGAGACTTTGGGGACATGTGGCTGCACATTGTCATCCATTAGCCAGCCCAGGGCATGGGTAACCATTTGGGCCCTACAACCCTGGTGAGCCCTTCTCTGGGGCAGGGGCCATGGCAGTGAGTTCGGTGTCAGCCTTAAACTCTGAGCCAACTTCAGATGACATCAGGGCCAGCTCTCGTACAGCAACGCCGGAGGTCATGGGAACCACCTGCTTGGCACAGCCCAGAGAGCCCATGTTCAAGTGCATCCCTATGTGTAGAGGCCTGAGGCAGGTTAATTAAAGTTAACTGAGTGAAAAAAATAATTACAGATACTGCAGAGGGAAGAAACTCAAACCTGCAATTTAACACTCCTCAGCCCCTGAGCTTTTCTGAGAAACACGCTAGTCCTCAGAATTTTTTCTGGGCCAGGGAGAGCGGGGCTTCTCTCTTTATCACTTCTTGCTCAGGCCCTGAAGGCTGAACACACATGGCCAGTAGCTGCTTCTCCCTCTGTCAGTGCCCAGGAGCGTGTCAGGGATGGGTCCTTGGCTGAGCTCCTGTGTCCTTGGGCAGAGCAGCACACCTGGACGGGAGGTGTGCTGTCACAGAGACCTCTGGGAGCTGCCACCTGGCCTCAGCCTACCTTGGGCACTGCCTTGTGTCAGCGTGGGGGGATTTCATAAAAGCTCCTTCAGTGGAAAGAGGTTGGTGTCTCTGGACCCAGGCCAGTAGGATTGGATGAAAGGGGACAGAACAACTGTCTCTCAAAGGAAAGGTCCTTTGGGTACCTTCTGCCTGTCCCATGCAGACTCCTCTTCAGCACTTTACTTTTGCTACCCTATATACCACCCACTGCAGGAACTGCCATCCTTCTTTGGGTAAATGGCTTTAGGGGCTCCATGCTTGACCCACACACTGGCCAATTGGGAGCCACTGGTTGGTATTTAGGTGGTTTAAACAGTTAGTTGCCAGGCTACTAACCAAAAGATTGGTGGTTCAAACTCGCCCAGAGGCACCTTGGGAGACAGGTCTGTGATTTGCTTTTGAAAGCCTTAAAAACAGCCTTAAAAAGTCTGTGAAGCACAGATCTACTCTGACACACATGGGGTTACCCATGAGTCAGGATCAATTCAATGGCAACTGGGTTGTTTTATGAGCAGTTTGGTTGGTATTTGGAATTTCTTTCTCTGCCCTTTAGGAGGAAGCTGGGTTAGTGGACTCCCTGGGTCTACAGTGGCCATAGCAGCAGGAGCACATCAGTAAAGCCGGATGTCATGCCAAGCCTCTGAGCGGGTCAGAAGCAGGTCTGACTGCCATGTAAGGAGGAAGGGCAGTGGTGGTCTGGCCAAATTCAGCTCCTGCTGCTGCAGCTATCCAGGAGGGGTTTGGTCTGCCAGCCTGTTGGTCGGTCAGTGATGACAGCTCTGTCTAGTGTGGGAGGAGTGTTCAGGTGGGGAAATTCAGTCTGTCCCTGAGCATCCTCTGGGGCTCGGAGGCTCGTTCTTAAGGCCACCCTCATCCCCAGCATCCCTTGGAAGCAGCCATGGTAGAAGCAGATTCAAGGGTCTCTGTATCCACCAGGCTATTTTATAGGACGAGGGCTGGATTCCTGCCCAAGACCCCATACAGGTAGCACTTATGCTTTTGTGGAGGCTCAGAGAGCCTGGACAAGTGTGAAGGTGGCTATAGGTCATCTGGCTGTGAGCCTCAGGACCCTACATTGGGCTTCCCCAGGCAGGGTCTGGCAAGTGTTCCCCTCTGTGGTTTTCTGGAGGTGCAGAGACAGGAGGCCCTGCCAGAAAGCTGGTTTCCTGGCACAGATGGTGACAAGACTTCATTCGGTCTTCTTCTTGGGCTTGAAAAGGTGGAAGGGACACACCTGAGAAGTCTTCAGAGGGATCCATGTTATACCTTGGTCATATGCAGTTACAGGGGCCCAGCAAGCCCTGGGAATGCCCTGTGACTTGGTGGTGGACAGTCTTTCTCCTCTTCTTCCGTATAGGTGTGGCCTGATGGATGCCTGGTGTGGACGATGAGGGAAGAACGTGCTTCCCACACCCCAGAGGTGACCCCAGAGCAAGCCCTGGATGCCCCTGCAGCCTGGAACCATGCGGTTAACCTGTATGTTCTCCTCCATCCTCCTGTTTGGAGCCGCAGGCCTCCTCCTCTTCATCAGCTTGCAGGACCCCACAGAGCTTGCCCCCCAGCAAGTACCAGGTGAGCCTCCACTCCAGTCCCACCCACCTGCACACCCCAACTTTCTCACTGTAGGTGCAGGCTGATATGCTCAGTACAGGTCCTCTGACTGGAGGACACAAGGCCAAGTGTGTGCTGAGACCTCTGGCAGGTAGAAGAGCAGTCTTGACTTCCTGCAGGTGGACATTAGCCCCAGCATTGCAACACTGTGTCTGAGGTCAAACCACCAGCCTGTGGACTCTGGCCTTTTACCTCCTGACCTCTATCTGGCACATAGCAGCATGGGAACCCCTCTTGGTAGTGCTGTTTGATGAGGATCCTAATAGTTCAGCCATTGCTGTCCTTTGGTGAAACTCAGATTTAAAGAGGATTCTGCCATCTCTTGGGGCCTGTTCCACATTGTCTGGGGCATCTTCTTGAGTCCATGATCCCCCCAAATGTGACTTAATTTCCCTGCCCAACACTGAGGATCCCTTGAGTCCAGCACCTCTGGCCTAGGCAGAGGGGGTTGGTGTACTTCCTGGATTTTGTGAGGCCAAGAGCTGCCCTTGCTGGTCTCCCACCTACTTACCTCCCATTACATCCCAGAGACTACAGTCTGCTGGGTGCAGGTGGGTTTTCTGGGTATGCGGTGAGAGGAGGACACAAAGAATGAGCTGCTCTGTTGCCTTGGGGCTAATAAAAGGTGAGGAGGGGGCTCAGTGAAGTTCCCAGCCCTGAGGCACCCACTGCCACTGCTGGTACACAGACCCCTCTGAGCATGGCGGGGTTGGAGGTCAGTCGTTGTGGGCTAAGGCCAGGGATGACTCTGCTTTGGAGTATGGGGAAAGCATCACTCTTAGACCAGAGCAGCAGTGTCTCTCAGCATGAGTCCTATAACCCTTGTTAGGGCAGGGTCCTTGAAGACACCTGCTTATACCCCACATGCTCCAGAACACGGATATGCTTGTGTACACCTGGAGACTCCCCTTCTCCCCAGGAACACATATATACATACAGTGCTGTGAGCCAGGGACAGCTAGGCAAGTGCAGTGGATACCAGAGGTTCAGGGAGAGGGATTTCTGAGCCATCCCTGCCTGCCTACATAGCATAGGAGGGCAGGCACTACACGGGCACATGGCCTTCCTCCTTGGGCTGCCATATGAAAGATCTCTAGGTGGCACAAATGGTTAAGTGCTTGACTACTAACCTAAAGGTTGGTTGCTCAGACCCACCCAGAGGCTCCTCAGAAGACAGCCTTGATGATCTGCATCTGAAAGGTCACAGCCTTGAAAACCCTATGGAGCAGTTCTACTCTGCACACGCGGGTTCGCCATTAGTCAGAGTCAACGCAATGGCAACTAACAGCAAAGTTCCACAAATTGGGTGGCTTAAGAGGACAGAAAGGTATTGTCTCACAGTTATGGAGGTTAGGAGTCCAAATTCAATGTGTTAGCAGGGCCACGCTCTCTTGGAAGGCTCCTGGGGAAGATCCTTTCCTGTCTCCTAGCTTCTAGTAGCTCCAGGTGCTCCTTGGCTTGGAGCTGCAACATAACTTGGTAGTCACATGGACATCTTTTCTGTCTTTTTGTCTTTTCTCTCTGATAAGGGCACTACTCAGATTGGGTTAGGACTTATAATGACCTCATACTAACTGATAAGATCTCCAAAGATCCTTTTTACAAACAAGGTCATGTTCACAAGTACCAGGTATTAGAACTTCAACATAAATATTTAGGGGCACGTTTCAGTCTGTTACAGGTATGCTGGCCTGCAGCCTCCCTCCAGCCCTGCACTCAGCTCTTACCTGTTCGCATTCAGACTGGTATTGCCCCTGTTTCCTGGATGCCAGTTATTTTGCTTTTGCAAACGTGTGCTTGCCCATGCTGTGTGGCCCTAATGCAGATCAGGCACTCTGATGCACAGGAGGGAAGGCAGAAGGAACAAAAGGAGCCAGAACTGGGGCCCTAGGCCTCCCCTTTACCGCCCCCGGTCCTGGCAGCTGTAGCCACAGGCCCTTTGTCAGGAGGAGGCCGGGAGTTGATTCTTTTAGCACAGAGAGTGGGTCAGAGGCAGCCAAGGGCAGGCAGCCCCAGGGGACAGTGGGTGAGTCATTGGTGCTGACTCATGCCTGGGCCAACTCTTACAGGTTGTAGCTGTCAAAAGTGGGTCTGGCTGCTCCCCAGGGTCTGAGCTGGCACTTCTGTAGGAACTCTGCAGTATCCTGTGTTCCATAGGGTAGCCTACACCACTCACTGTGTCAGCAGAACTGGCCCTGCTGATCATCCAGCCCCACAGGGCAACACCATCCGTACCGAGGAGAGCTGGTCCTCACGGCTGTGTGTTAGCTGCACTGAAGCCAACTCCAGAAAAATGGTGCTCAAACATTGCTGTAAGAAACGGTGCCTGTGTGTCCTTGGTACATGCCTGAGCACAAGGGCCAGTTGCGCATGTGTGGTGGTGGGGACACATGGGCAGAGGGCTCGCACCTATCAGCGTCAATGTCGGTGTCAATATCTACTGTGGAGCAAGCCTGAGAGAGAAGAATGAGTGTGAGAACAAGGCGCTGAGATGGGGACCATGTGCTCATCTGCAGTGCATGCCAGGTGCAGGTGGGATGTTCCTGGGTGGGAGAGTGCTGCACTCTGAGTGCTGCTTCTGTGCACACCTCCCCTCCATTACCAGGATTCCTTTGGGAAGTGTCTTCCTGGGGGCAGGGGGGGAGGAAGTGCTGTGCTTGGAGCCTCTGGTGGGCCATGGTCTAGGTGAGCAGTCCTCTGCAGTGGGGTAGCACCAGCCTTGCAGGACCAGGTGATGAGCACACCCTTTGACTGTGAGTGGTGCCGGACCACCCTCAGCTTGTGACAGGTGAGTAGACTTTCATGTTCTATGTAAGTCACACCAAACCACAGTCATAAAACTTTAAGTAATGCTTACGTTACTTTCCCTGAGCAAAGTACTCCTGACACAGGCTGTTTGTGTTGATTTGTTACTATTCATTTATTCTTCCCCTGTACTTCTCACAGTAGCCTAATTGTAATTCGGTACCAAGAAAGCAATATCAAAGTAATTTTCCACAACATTAGTTACAATTTTCTTCTGATCTCTCAAGTGAAACAGTCCCATCCTGTTGGCTTCTTTGAGCATATAAATCTTGATTACATTTATCTGTTGGAAACTAGTGCTTACAAAGTGTATGTGTCCAGTTGCATGGCTGAGTGGCCCCCAGGGCCCTTGTCAAGCCTTCCCCTGGTGGATTTCTGCTGTGCCTGTGGGAGGTACAGACACGGAAGGCTGCCCTGACATCCAGGTCAGGAAAGGCCTTAGGGGCGGGAGGTGCCGTCTGTAGAGGAAATTCCACCTGGGCCTCTGTCATTGTGGTGGAAAGTTTCCTAGAAACCAGATTCCCTGGGCTCTGCTGTTAGTGGCCCCGGCACAGGCAGGAGAGCAAGGATGGGCAGGTAAAGGTCTCTGGATATAAGGACCAAGCTTGAAAAGACAGGTGGAAGTTCTTAGATGTTTGTGATATCTTTGGGATCTGGGTGTCTTTCAGATTTCTCTTGTGCACCACCAGGTGTTAACAGGAAGCAGTCGCACCTGCACATCTTAGATACCAGTCAGTGAGTCTCACCTCACTTCATGCATTAAAAGGACTCTTACAGGCTTGCCAAGTTTTACGAATCAAGCCATATGTGTACTAACATATTAAATTAGACTTTTTGATACTTACCTGTTAGCTTACCTGCAGGGGTAGTGGTGGTTCAGTTGTAGCATTCTCATATTCCATGTGGAAGACCCAGGACCGAGCCCAGCAAGTGCAGCTCGTGTGCAGCCACCAGACATCTGTCGGTGGAGGCTTTCCTGTTGCTGTCATGCCGAACAGATCAGCAGAGCTTCCAGATTAAAGAAGAAAGACCTGACAACTTACTTCCAAAAAATCAGCCAATGAAAACTCTGGATCCCCTAGTGTCCATCTGTAGATGAATGGATATAGAAAAGGTGGTATGTACACGTAATGGCATGCTGTTACATTCAGGTGCCATTGAGTCAGCTCTGACTCATAGTGACCCTATGTACAACAGAATGAAATACTGCCCACTCCTGCACTATCCTCACATTCTTTGCTATGCCTGAGCCTATTATTGCAGCCACTGTGTCAATCCATCTCATTGAGGGTCTTCCTATTTTTAGCTGACCCTCTACTTTATCAAGCATGATATCCTTCTCCAAGGGCTGGTCCCTTCTGACAACATGATCATGGTAGGTGAGATGAAGTCTGGCCATTCTCACTTCTAAGGAGCATTTTCCGGCTGCACTACTTCCAGGACAGATTTATTTGTTCTTTTGGCAGTCCATGGTACTTTCAGTATTCTTTGCCAACACCACAATTCTAAGGCATCAATTCTTCTTTAGTTCTGCCTTATTCTTTGTACAGCTTTCACATGCATATGAGGTGAATGAGGTGAAATGAAGTCCTGATGGTACATGGATGAACCTTGAAAACATCAGGTTGAGTGAAAATAAGGCAATCACATCACAAAGAGGACAGATTTTGTATAATCTCACTTACATGAAATAAGCAAATGTATAGAAACCAAAGATTATCATTGGTTACCTGGAGTGTGAAAGGGGAAAAGAGGAGGTTTTCACTTACAGGGCATTGAATTCCTGTTAATGGTGGTGGAATGATTTGGGAAAGGATAGCAAGAATGGCTGCGTATCTTAAAAAACGTTACCAAATACCACCGAATTGTATATGTAGAAATTGTTGAGATGGCCTATGTTTTGTTATATGTGTTTTCACCAAAATAAACAACAACAAAAAAATATCCTATCAATCACAGTGGTCCCGTCTTATGCATAAGGTTGCCACGAATCAGGATCTGACTGGATGGCAACTACCAACAACTGCCACCTATCTGCATTCTAAAACTAAGCTTTCTTGTATACCAGAGAATTCTCTTATCCAGTTGCAATTATTTTTTAATCCTCAATATTGCTGTGCCTGAGGTCATGGTTTGTGCCCTCAGGCTTACTCCTT